AGCAAGTTAGCTTATGCGAACGAACCATTCATCATGGCATCTCAAGCAAAACAAGTGTTTTATGTCACAGATCCTTCTAATAAAAAGTGGTCAGTGGTTTTACAAGGAAAGGTCCATGATAGTGACGAAAATCATGATGAGAACCTTGATATTTCTGAAACTCATCCTTTCTCAACAAATGTGACTACATTCACTGAAGAAAATGAAGGGGATGATGTGCATGCTATTCGCATGGACCATGAAGAAGGGATACGGGAGGACTAGTAAGATTTTTTGTATAAGTTAATTCCACGTTACTTTATTTTCTAATTGTTTTTATTTTGTGCTTAATTTTATTTCTAATTGTTTTTATTTTGTGCTTAATATTATTTTTAATTATTTTTGTTTTGTGTAAACAGATACATGGGTGATTCAAACCCCAATAAAAGAAGAGTTAGAGGTCCCACTTTTATGAAATTGTGTTTTATGTTATTTAATTTTGATTTTGATAACATATATATTTTATGCGACTTTTCTGTTTCCACACACACGTACAGGAGACATTGGCAATTAATAGTCATGTGTCCAAGAGACAATTTAGTTGTCGTATTTTGTTCACTTCATCGGGAAATTGACCAGAACACGAAGAAAATTATTACAAAGTAAGTTTATCTTTCATGTGACTTTCATTGACAACTAATAGTTATGTGATTTTTCATTGGCGAGTATATTTAGTTATGTGATGTTTATATCTTTCTGTATTAGTTCTTTTGGGATTCATCAAATGGCAAATGGAAATAGAAAAAAGGCTACATGGCTTCATCCCAATGTAAGTGTGATGTAAATTGTAATTCTATAGTTAAATATATACGATAAATATTCACTAATTATGTCATTCAATTGTAGACAAGGCAACAACATAACTCTAACGATTGTGGATACTATGTGATGAAAAATATGTTGGATATTGTCTCTGCTAATATAACCGAGAATTGGATGCAGGTACTAAAAATAACTTTACTTTGTTCTTTACTTTTTGTTTTTCGACTTAATATGAATTTTTAAAAAAAACTCTATATTGTTATATTTATGTATTATAGGTATTTGATGACCCAACAGAATTAACACCAGATGATTTGTATGATTTGCGACTTCGTTGGGCAAAATGTTTCTTTGACTTACATGGAACTTAAGTTTAGCTTGGTGAGTTTTATAGAATTGTATAAGTTGTGGTTTTTGCACAATACATGTGGTTTTTGCTCATGTGTTGAGTTTCTTGATTTTTTTGCTGATGTTAATTGTTATTATTTATTGTCAGGCAATATGATTTTGGTGTTGTCTACCGAAGATTTTATATTGGTAATTCAAGTTTGGAAACTTAGAAATAGTTGAATATTTTAGTATATGTATATTTTGTGAATATTATGTAATTGTAAGTTTTGAAAAAGACTTATAAATAGTTGAATATTGTTTTATATTTTGTTAAGAATTTGTAATTGTAAGTTTGTATGTTGTAATACAATACAAGTTTACAATACAATTGTTCAATTTGTAAGTTTGTTGTGAAAAATATGAAAACATCGTCCTAAATGTGATATATGTGATGTTGGTAAGCTATGAAATCTATATAGCGACATAAATATAGTCTGTTTGATATTGGAAAAATATGAAAAAATGGGTACAAATTATATTTGTATAGGGAAACCCAGAAAATAAATAATCTATTCCAAAAAAATTTCATACATTTTACATCGGTTATTAGTAAAACTGATGTAAAAACTTTCAAAAATGGACTTTTTACATCGGTTGGAAGTAATACCCGATGTAAAAAGTCGCGTCACTGGGGACTTTTTACATCGGGTATTACTTCCAACCGATGTAAAAAACTGGATCAATTTTTTAAAAAAATGTGCATAATAATTGTTTTTTACATCGGTTCATATATTATAACCGATGTAAAAAAGGTACTTTTTACATCGGGTATTACTTCCAACCAATGTAAAAAACTGGATCAATTTTTTAAAAAATGTGCATAATAACAGGTTATTACATCGGTTCTGATATTATAACCGATGTAAAAAAGGGACTTTTTACATCGGTCCCAGAACCGATGTAAAAAGTCCCTGATTTACTATATCACCTGACTTTACATCGGATCCAAAACCGATGTAAAAAGTCAATTTTACCCGATGTAAAAAGTCATTTCTGCACTAGTGACAACATCAACATCATTATGTGAGATAGATTGCAAGAGTAGAAAAATGTTTTGTCCAAGATAAAAGAACATAGAATATTGAAGATTTTTTCTGTCTTGCAATTTATCCCAAAGAATGACGCGTATGAGTTTGAGAAAATTACATATAAGTTAGGATTATGGTAAAATCTGTTTAACAAGTGCTTTTATAGTAAAATATGATTATTTAATTCCTCGGTTACTATGGAAACCGAAAGGATAGATCATTTAGTTTATAAATAAAAAATAAAATAACAAGAAAGGTATCACTTATAAATAAATAAAAACATAATCTCCATTAGGCGGGATTCAAATCATGCCTTGAATTGTTTTTTCCCTTGGTTATATTCGGATACCGAGGAAATATGTGGTTTTTATTTAAAAAAATTAAACATGATATGCTTTAGCCATTATGCTTCAATTTTTTTTTGGGTGGGGTGAAAGTGTTGTCATGAAATATACTATTGATAATAGTGTACATTGATGCCTACACCTTCTCCTTCACCAATATTACCATAATTTCCCCTCAGATGACCACTTAATCCTAACATGGTATAGTCAAAGCTCACAAGTTTTTTAACTTACACACTTCATCTCAAAATTCCATATCCCTCTTATCTACAAACCTTATAGATGCATTACATGATCTTAATTGGAAAATGACCATGAAAGACAAATATGATGCTCTTATTGAATATAAGACGCAATACTTAAATCCTCGTTCGTCTTATGCTAATATTATTCGAATTTTGTGGATTTTCAGACATAAAAAGAATTCAGATGGATCATTCGAGCAGTACAAAGCTAGCCTTGTAGCCAAAGGGGATAACCTACCAACATGCATTAATTGTGGTGAAACCTTCAGCCCCGTAGTCAAACCTACTACAATTCGTAAATCACTCAGAGTTGTCTTGTTAAAATCATGGTGTCTTCATCAACTGGATGTTAAAAATTCCTTCTTGCACGAAAATCTTGATGAAATCATGTACATGCACCAACCTATAGGATTCCGTCATCCTCAATTCCTGGACCATGAGTTTTTGCTCAAAAAGTCTCTCTATGGACTCAAACAAGCATCATGCGCTTGGTATCAGCAATTCACTGATTATGTCGCAACAATAGCATTCTCCTACAATATTTCTAATCACTCATTATTTATCTATAATAATGAGAATGATATGACATACATTCTTCTCTATGTAGATAACATTATCCTCACTGCTACATCTGACTCTCTTCGTGAGTATATTATGTCTAAGTTGAGTTTTAAATTTGCAATGAAGGACCTAGATCCTCTGAGTTATTTTCTAGGCGTCTTTGTTACTCGACATTCAAGAGGTATTTTTCTCTCTCAAAAAAAAATGCATAAGAGATTATTGGACGTGCATGAATTTCCTCTTGCAAGCCAGCCCCAACACCAATGAATACCAAATCAAAACTCAGTAGGTTCTCGGGTGATTCAACATAATATCAGAGTCTTGTAGGTGCATTACAGTACTTAATATTTATAAGACCAGATATATCATACGTTGTTCAACAAGTGTTCCTCTTTATGCATGATCCAAAAATACAACACATGTCTGCCTTAAGACAGATCATTCATTATATACATGGTATTGTTGAATTTGGCCTCCATCTTTACTCTTCCCCCATCGACAAGATCGTATCTTACACAAACGCAAATTGAGCTACTGGTTGTCCAGACACAAGAAGATCTACCTCTGGTTATTGTATGTATCTTGGTGACAATTTGTTGTCTTGGTCATCAAAACGCCAACATACCTTGTCTCAATCGAGTGCATAGACCGAATAACGAGGAATGGCTAATGTAGTGTCTAAATCGTACTAGATTCGAAATTTAATTTTAGAACTACATTTCCCTGTTACAAAAGCAACTTTAGTTTATTGTGACAACGTCAGTGTCACACCTTTCCGACAATCCAGTTCAACATCAACGCACCAAACACATCGAAATGAATATACACATTATACGATAAAAAATTGTTTGCGGTCAAGTGTGCATATTATATGTTGTCTCTCGTTATCAAATAGTCAATATCTTTACGAAGGACTTTCCGCTACAACTTTTTGACGATTTTAAAAATAGCCTCAACATTCGTTTGCTCCAATTTTGACTACGGGATGTATAGAATATGTAAATATAAAAAGATTATTATTATTAGAGTTTATGATAAAATAATTAGTCAATAATTTATTCGTAAGTTTGTCATTAATATATGTATATATATCATCTTCGTGTTATAAATTTTGGAACGACTTTCTTATTTCACTTACCTAGTTTTTCATACTATGAATAATTCCTCAATAATTTATTTAAGATTATTATTACCCATTTGATGAATTAAATTAACCATTTGCTCAAATAAATTTACCATATTTTTTAACAAAAATAATCAAATATCATGCGAGTGTACCTAAAGGAGTATATAAAAAGGGGTGTACCTAAAACATTTTTATTTTATTTATAGTATAAAAAGTTAGGTAAGTGAAATAAGACATCGTTCCAAAATTTATGGATTTAAATCATTACACGAATATGATAATATACACACATACTAATGAGAAACTTTATTACATCAATCAATATCACACATGGTTTTGAGGTCCATCCTTACCTTTCACCTCTTCTAACCAAATAATACAATACTAATATTTTTAAACATCAACTATAGCAAATATTTTAAAAAGTTGTAAACATGTCACAACTATTTTACCATGAACTATATCTTTCTGTATAATAATCAAGAGGATGATAATACTTCATCTCTTAATTATCAATCTTCATTGTGCTAAAATCCAACCTCACAAAGCTAAGATAATCATCATTAATCCAATCAAACTTTTCCTTAAAAGGATTATTCAATAATGGTGGAGGATAACTCTCAATAGAAGCAGTCCAAACATTGGTATCAGATGAATATTTCATCACTTCCCAAACGTAATTGTTATCACCTTTTAGATTGAGAGACTTGCTGGAAAATTTCTGTTAGCGTAATTCATCGCTATCGTGAATTTCTTCTTCTTCTTTCTCGATCGTTCTTCCCTTGAATCACTCAACCGGAGCTCTAGATACCAGATGTTGGAAATCCACTAAAACCTATAATGAATTTCTACCAATCTTGATGAACAAGATTGTTATCACCACACAATGACAATGAAAAATAAAAGATGAAGAAAAAAAAAATATTTTTCTGCAGAGTTTATCTCTGCCCACAAACTATAGAAAACTTTATTATTCACTTGCAACTGCAAATTCTGTTAATACAATGAATTGACTGGATTACAAAAAATAGGGGTTACTCCTTATTTATAGATTTAGGTTAGCTTGCTTCTTAAGACAAAACCCAAAACTATAAAAAGCTCAAAATAGTTATTTTAGAAATAAATCAAATCTATTCTATTTTAAACCTAAATCAAATCTATTTAGATCTAAAACAAATTTGTGTAATAAACTGTTTTCACATTAAATTAAATATTTTCGACACTCCATTATCTCTGTCGAACAAACTGCTTCAACACAAAAATTACTTTCAACTGTCCAAATTTTATAAATATTCTAGCTTCGCCATTAGATATATATACCACTAGATTCAATAATTGGACGAAATGAAAAATGATTGAGTGAGTCTCACTTCTACCGAGTTTTAATATGATATAAATGTATTAATGACATGAACTTTATTTCATCAATCAATAGCACAATACACATGATTCTACTCAAATAATACAATACTGTAATAATATCTTTAAACAAGAACTACAAGAAATATTTTAAAAAAGATATAAAGAAGTTCATGAAATCAATTATTAAATCCTTCTGGATGATAACATACGAACCAACGAAACTATATCTTTCAGGATGATGATTTCATCTCTTAATCAATCTTCACTCTGCTAAAGTCAAACCTCACAAAGCTAAGATAATCATCATTAAGCCAATTAAATTTTTCCTTAAAAGGATTCTTCAATAACGGTGGAGGATAACTCTGAATAGAATCAGTCCAAACATTGGTATCAGATAAATCTCTCATCACTTCCCAAACACAAGTATTGCACTTAAAACCAGCTCCAAGACTAATCATCAAAATTCTATCACCTTCTTTAAGTCTCTTTTTTGCTTCCATATACCCTAAAACATACCATATTCCACTAGAAGAAGTATTACCCCAACGATGAAGTGCCATTCTAGTTGGTTCAAGATCATATTCATTCAACATTAAACCTTTACCAACTCCATCAATAACTGCTCTACCACCAGGATGAACACAAAAATGTTCAATTCCATTTTTCAACTGAATTTTCTTGATACCATTGCGTAGAGAAACTGTAAATAACCATACCAGTTCCCAAAGTGGGAGAATCTTTGGAACCATCCTCTTCAAATTTAATGTTAAAGCTTGTGCAGCACAGTTAACAAGACTTTTGGTTAGTCGAGCGCCTTCAAAACCTTCTTCATCTTCCAGTCTTATGCAACAATTGTAAGCTTCATCAGTGCTGAAATATGTTCTTTCTATCTGTTTCAGTTTCAAGATAGCTTTCTTTTTCAGCCCCGTTTTGTTCGTCAATAAAATTGCACAACCACCTGAACGAAAAAGACAGTTAGATAACATCATACTTTTGTCTTTTCCATAGTACCAATGAGCACCAATCTGTTGTGTGCTAACAACAATTCCTATGGAATTCTCATGTGCTTTGAAAAGCTGTTGCACAAGATCAATACCTATAAGACTTGCACTACACCCCATTCCTGAAAGATTGAACACTTTTAGATCTTCTCTCATTTTGTATCGGTTAATTATTCTTGATGTGATTGAAGGTATTGGCGAAAATAATGAAAGATTAACAACAAGAATATCTATTTCTGAAGGAGAGAAACATGTTTTTTTGAAAAGGTTGTCGAGTGTATCGAACATGACTTCATCTATTTCTTCATATGTGTCTTTGAGAGTTGGACATGATTCTCTTCCTTCAAGAAAGTTTTTTGAACCGTAAGTGTTTTCACCTATTCCTGAACTAACCATGGCTTTTACGAGAAACCTAAGTTCCTCTATACCAAGGCTTCTCTTTCTAAACAGTATTTTTGCACATGTGTTTGTGTTGAGTTTGGTTTCTTCTTTTGGTTTGAAACACTCATAGCCTAATATGTAACACGATTGGTTTCTACGTTTAAGAATCAAGTTGAAAAGTTTTAAAATGGAAGAGACTAAATAAAAAAGGCATAAAATCTTTAAGAGATATTCCATGTCTTGGAAATAAATGGAGTAGAGTATTTGTGGTTTTTCAGTGCAAGTGTTTCTCTGTATATATATACACACATACTCTTATATTATTTAAAAGACATTCAATGACTTGTCTGGATTTTAGAAGGCAATAATTGAATGAAAGAATACTTATGACTTTCTCCCTCCCAAATTAGTTGTCCACACTAACAATATATATCTTATTTTCTTTATATATATTATTTTACACTAATAGTATATATTTTATTTTCTTTATATATTTTTTATCTTAATAAATAAAATAGAAAAATTATTGAATTTATGAAATTATCTTTATTATTTATTAGTGTATTCGAATTAATATTAATGTAAAGTGAGAAAATAATAAATTTAAAGTATTAATTATAAAATTAAAATTAAAATTACATTGATAATTTATATAGACAAATATTTTGAATTAAATAATTTTTTTAAATATAACAAGTATTTTAATAGAGAAGAAGTGTTTTTTTTTCTAATATACTAATGATTAGAATTTCAAAATGAATAAATAAATAAGGGTAACGTTAACATATATCTTTAGAATAATATCTTTAGGATACATGTTAAGAAACTTACAAATAAAAATTTTGTACTAAAATAAAAAATAAAAAATTAATTTTTAATTTTTAATAAAATCAATACACAATTTTAAAAAAAGAAAATTATATTAAAAATTTAACATATATTCTAAAGACACGTGTTAACCTTACTTAAAATATAATATGTTATTTTTTGAATTTACAACCGTGCAATCAAATATCCTTTTATTTATTAAATAAGTTAGACTAATACGATTACTTAAAATATGAGAAAATGAGTGATATACTAATAGTGTAAATTAATTTACATTGTTAATCAATTACAACTTTATATTAGAATAGATTATATTTTAATTTTAAAATTTTTTTAATGACAAAATATATTGTTGGTTTTCTATTTGATGATAATGTAAAATAATTTTACTATAAATTAAACCCTTAAAATATGTTGTTATTAAATCACTACAAAAAATATTCTCATTTACGAGGTGAAATTCACCTCACAACATGAAAAATCACGTCACAATTCCTAATTTGTGACGTGAGTGATCACGTGTCTGGGAAACGGGTGACAATTTATTTGCGACGTGATTTTCATGTCACAGATTTGTGACATGAAAATCACGTCGCAACATATTTTTATAGATATTCTGACTTTGTAGTGACAACCGATGCAACAGAAGAAATGCAGAAAAAGTAATTTATTTGTCACGTGATTTTCACGTCATAAATTAGTGACGTGAAAATCACGTCGTAAATTAGTAACCATTCACACTTTCTCTTTATTCAACTTTTGTTTTATTATAAAAAAAATAAATTGTGAATAATTTTAAATTGACAGTATTATAAATTAAACCCTTAAAATATTGTTATTAATTTGAATAATTTACTACTTAAATTAAATTTAAAAATAATAGTTTAAGAATATGTTTGTTTTTTTTCTTCCTTTTTCTCTTTCATACATATATTTATTTAAATTATTCAACCTGTTTTTAAAATGATTTTACCGATTCACATGAAATAAAATAATTTGAATCGATAAAATTTTTAATGTTAATTAATAATTAATCAATTTTGTAATATTGTTTTAATAGAATATACTAGTACATTATCTGCTATGAAGGAAATTCTATCTGATTTAAATAATGAATAATTTCTCTCGTCATTCGTAAACCTTTTCTCCATTTCTGTCTCTCGTTAATGTTATCAAACTACTTTCAGCAACTAATAAATGATTCATTTGAGTCAACACTAATGAAAGTAGTTCATACATCATCAAAATGATTTTTGGAGCAGCTTCCTTATTTTGGGGATGATTTTAACAATAATTTAGTATTTCCTGTGCATGGGTTTATCTCTCCTTTAATTATTTTTTCAAACTCATGTTGTATTTCTTATATATATTATTAATGTAAAATAATTTTATACAGATAATTAATCACAATTATTTATTTTTAATTAAATGAAAGAATAAAAATATTTTATATAATCAATATATTATTAGAAATAAATGATAATTCAAATGTATTTAATAAACTATTGGAAGTTGATTAGAGGTGTCAGTTAATCAAATAAATATTTTATTGAAGACCCACCAAATATCTATGATGAATTTTTACCAATCTTGATGAACAAGATTGATATCACCACACAATGACAATGAATTATGAAAAAAGAAAAGAAAAAAAAAAGACAATTATTTTTTGCAGAGTTTCTCTTTGTCCACAAACTATGGAAAACTTTATTAATCACTTACAACTGCAAATTCTGTGATTACAGTGAATTGAGTTAATTGTCTTAATTGATTACAAAAATAGGAGTTACTCCATCTATTTATAGATTTAGGTTAGCTTGCTCCTAAGCCAAAAGTCCAAAATACATATTTTGATATTAAATCAAATCTATCTATTTTAGATCTAAATCAAATATATCTAAATCTAAAATAATCAAATTTGTGTGTAGCTTACTTCGATCCATAAACTCTTCTACTAGGCAACCTCCCTTCGACACACACATTGTTTCGACACAATCGAATTACAATTTAACACACCATCTAATTCATTGTGTCTAAACTATCTATATTCATCATGGTTCTTAGTCTTCTAAATACTTCGACATGCACTCCTTTTGTTATGATGTCTGCAATCTGATTCTCAGTTTTGCGGTGTTCCAAATTCATCTTCCCATCTTCTATCTGCTCTCGAAGATAGTGGAACCTCATTTCGACGTGCTTGCTTCAACCATGTACTATCAGGTTCTTCGCCGGATTGATAGCTGACATGATGTCGATCTTTATGGTAATTGCTCCATGATCTTTCCCTATTATCTCTTCGACCAAGTTCATCATCCAAGTTGTTTGACATGCACAAAGAAAAACAGTTATGTATTCTGTTTCACATGATGATAATGCCACTACTGGTTCCTTTCTTGAACTCCAAGCAACTGGTGAATCACCTAACATAAAAACATATCCTGCTAATGATTTTCGATCTTCAGCATCACTATACCAACTCGAATCAATGTATCCCACTAAATTTAATATATATTCTAAAGACACGTGTTAACCTTACTTAAAATATAATATGTTACTTTTTAAATTTACAACCGTGCAATCAAATATCCTTTCATTTATTAAATAAGTTAGACTAATACGATTATCTAAAATATGAGAAAATAAGTGATGCACTAATAGTGTAAATTAATTTATATTGTCAATCAATTATAACTTAGTATTAGAATAAATTATATTTTAATTTTAAATTTTTTTTAATGACAACATATTGTTGGTTTTTTATTTGATGACAATGTAAAATAATTTTACTATAAATTAAATCCTTAAAATATCTTGTTATTAAATCACTACAAAAAATACTCTCATTTGCGACGTGAAATTCACGTCACAACATGAAAAATCACGTCATAACTCCTAATTTGCGACATGAGTGATCACGTGGCTGGAAAACGGGTGGCAATTTATTTGCGACGTGATTTTCATGTCACAGAGTTGTGACGTGAAAATCACGTCGCAACATATTTTTATAGACATTTTGACTTTGCAGTGACAGCATGCGCAACAGAAGGAATGCAGAAAAAGCAATTTATTTGCCACGTGATTTTCACGTCACAAATTAGTAATCATTCACACTTTCTCTTTGTTCAGCTTTTATTTTTTTATAAAAAAAATAAATTATGACGTGAAAATCACGTCACTAATCTTTTTATTTTTATTTTTTAAAATTATATACTAAAATTTGATTTTATATATATATATATATATATATATATATATATATATATATATATATATATATATATATATATATATATATATATATATATATATATATATATATATATATATATATATATATATATATATATATATATATATATATATATATATATATATATATATATATATATAGTATGTCTTATAATATATAAAAATATAAATTTTCGTTTTATTATTATTATTAATATTTTTTATATTATGTTTTATAATATAAATACCATATATTTAATAAATATAAAATAAATTTGTATAATATATATATAATTTCGTTTTAAATAAAATTCTAAAATATATTTCTGTTTTATTTTTTATTTATAAAAATTATAATATTAATTTACTAACTACTTTTACAAAATAAATATTAAATTTAACCTAAATAATCAATCAATAATCCTGAAAAAATATCAAATTTAAAAAAAAATTACAAAAATATCTCTCTTGAATCTCCTTTAATCTTCTTGTTCTATCTTTTTCAAACCCTTTTCAATGTTCTTCAATCTTCTTCTTATCAATTTCTTGAAGAAAAAAAAACATAAATCAAAATCATATTACAGAATAAACATTAAACAAAATTATTTAAAAAAAATTGAAACAAAATTAGAAAAGATGATTGACTACCACTATGCCAAAATTGAATTTAGACAGCGCCACATAGACAGCGCTTATGCCATAAGCGCTGCTATAGGTTTTTAAAAAAAAATTAAAAAATTAGAGTAAGCGCTGCTAAAGGTATACCTTAGACATCGCTTACTAAAAGCGCTGCTAAAGGCCTTACCATAGACAGTGCTTCCTTTCCCTAAGCGCTGCTATAGGTTTTCAATAAAAAAAAATAAAAAAATAAGAATAAGCGCTGCTAAAGGGTATACCTTAGACAACGCTTACCGGAAGCGTTGCTAAAGGCTTTATCATAGCCAGCGCTTCCTTTCCCTAAGCGCTGCTATAGGTTTTCAATTAAAAAAAAAAAGAATAAGCGCTGCTAAAGGGTATACCGTAGACAACGCTTACCAAAAGCGCTGCTAAAGGTGTGATAAAAGGTATATCTTAGACATCGCTTTCAAGAAGCGCTGCTAAAGGCATTACACTAAAGCGCTGCTAAAGCCTTAAAGCACTGCTAAAGGTAATACCTTTAGCAGCGCTTCTTGAAAGCGCTG